CACATGTGTGTGTGTTTAACGTAAGGTTGGCAGAGYGACGATGCCAAAGTGGGCATCTGGTCCGGGGACTATCGCAGGGGAGAGGACAGGGACGAGAACGAACACTGTCCTCTCCTCGTCTCTTCCACAGATCTCCCTCCACTTCTTGGAAAACGCAGCGTCGTGGTAATCAGATAAACACACGCGAGGAAAAGAAACACACTGGCAGCGTTTTCAACCAGACAGTCGAGTCGAAATGCAAAAAGAGACACTCGAGGGCCAAATCAAAAGGTCGGACACACTTTGGATTCGCTTGTTGCCAGATTAAACCAGAAACAAGCTGCTGTTTGTGTGTTCGGGTTTTTTATGTTGACGAGGCTTTAAACACAGACAAGACTCATTTTTACAAAAGAAACAAAGCAGAACATCCTGAACTGTAAAACTAAACAAGTAAAAGAAAATCCAAACAGACAACAAGACTGGAGGTTCAGTCCTGTCCAGTCAGCTTTTTCATCAGCCTGGATGTGTCTGAGTATCCAGACAGATAAAAGTTGGTCAAATTCTCTAAAAATCTGCTCAGAAAATAAAAAAGTTCCCGTGCTTTTCTTCTGAGTCTGTTTAGCAAAATAAACACTGGATGATTCTTTAGTTTATTTAAAGAAACTTTTACACCAGTGAGAAGCTTAAATCAAAGACTCTCAGACTTCAGTATGAAAAAAAAACTGAATTTTCTTCAAAAGATAAAATCAGAATTAAAGGACATTATTTATTTATTTTCATCTCAGTGGTTCTTTTATGATAAACGAGACTTTGCGGGAATCTGAGGTCTAAAGTCCATAATAAGGAGCCGGGTGTGCTGGATTTACCAACACATACACAAATACCTTATTGTTTTTTACATAATGTAAAAAGAAAGAACCTAAAAGTTGTCAGTTGTCACTCTGGGTGTTGGCGCGCCCATTAGTTCTCTCCTTTTTTATTTGCTGTTTCTCAGCTGCTAGAAACACCAACATGAAGACTTTACTGTAACTTTGGTTTGAGCGTGACGATTAGCTGCTAAATTTCTGTGTGACTGAACATAAAAAAGACTAAAATCCATCACGTGGTTCATGAGAGATTTTGGAAACGGGCACACAAACAAAGGGCAAAACCATTAYCATTTCAGAAGGCAAAAGAAAACAGAGATTTCTACACTTAATTTAAGTAAAAATAAAAAGCATGTTTTAGGACTGTGGGAGGAAACCAGAGAACTTCCAAGAACATAGAAAAGAAAGCCCTGGTTGGACCTTGTCTCTGTTAAATCAACAGCTCCACCTCAGCTGAAACATGTGCAGCATCCACCCTCCACCAGCAGAGAGCAGCCTGCTCCCACAGATCAYATCCAGACACCTTTAACTCTCAGAGCCTTCAGCTGGAGCAAGTTCTTTAAAACAAGCACCTCTGAAACACAGATCCTTCCCACCGTGCAGCTGCAGCCTGCTTACAATCCTCCCTCCAGCACAACGCCACAAAGTGTYCCAGTCCACGTCTGCATATCGCCTTTACGGCTCGCTGGAGTTTGATCTTTGACCCGTGGTATTGGTCCCATTGTTGTAGGTTTTATTTTCAAGTGTTGCCATGGAGAACCAGCCCCATGACTGCCATGTAACCCGAGGCTGCCAGTCAGGTCGGACAGGTAACTGCAACAATGGTTGCAGCAGCAGGTGTGTAGGAACGAAAGGGAAAAAGAAGACGTTGAAACAAAGTTTTACACTCTAATCGGTGACTGAGATGAAAAAATAAATCAAGCTGGAGGACGYCAGAGAGGCTCGGGCCCTGGAGGYCCCAGGAGGCGAGGATGACGGGACGTTTACCACCATCTCTCTAGCAGACGACTCAGGTACCGCAACTGTGTTCATATAAAACAGTTTTTGCCTGTATCTTTGTRGAATATCTCATGAACCACTGGCTGAGTTTTAATGAAACTCTCAGGTAATCAGTGTATATATATCTACAACTCATTAACATTTACAGATAATCCACCTTACCAAATACAAACACACAGCTAAAATTTAACCAGTTTTACAGATATTGAGCTTAAATAAGTCATTAATCTGAGCACTAACTTTGTCTGTCTGTTAGCAAAATACCTCATGAATAGAAGGATTATAATGACACCTCCAGAAGAAACTGGTCCAGTGGTTCCACATGTTTTGCTAAAACACAGGCATGGATAAGAGCAAAAACATTATTGTTCTCCTTTAATGTTCCTCCTCGACAGGCAATATTAATAAACTTGTTCACTAAAARATAATTAGTTCATCTGACAAGGAATCCCTGATTCATAATCTGAAAATCTGCTCGATGAAGGTTAGATTATATAATAAACTGGTTTACTCAAGTATCAAAGTGATTTCTATTTTTTTAATCACTTCAGTAGAAAAAAGAACTTAATATTAGTTTCTTAATTTCTTCATCATTATTGATTTTTTTTAAGTAAAGAGAAAATAGAGAAAGAGGGAAAAACAGAGAAATAAGTAATTAGAAAGATTGAAATAGCAATTAGAAGTATATCAAATATACACCAACAAAACACAGGACCACACACCCAACATCTGTCCGCTCACCTGAAAAATAAATGGATAAATACATGGAGGGCATATATAAATATATACACATACCCATACATATAAAAAGATATACATACATGACTACATTCGTTAATATTGTCAGTACAGTATATACACACAGACATAAAGTATATACACACTCAGTGACCAGTCAGAAC